AGGATGGTGTTACGTGTTCAACCAATGATCGCTCACTATGACCGTAAACGTGATTGGCCCTACACACACACGTAGATAAGCACGCACACACGCACTCAAGGACACACCCTAACTTTCCGTGTTCACATGTAAACCGTTAAGTGTTCAGTATACTACGTGCCAGACTGACGCGTCTTCTTGCTTATTCACTACTAGTTGAAATACGTACTTGCGGTTAGAGTCCAGCTGTGATATCTGGCGACGGAGGTCAACATGTCCATGACAAATACTCCACCGGTCTTCTGGTCGTGCTCTACCGACAAACCTTCCCTGGACTCGTGGCATAGATGGCGTAAGACCTTTACGGATTACTTGGAACTGCTTCCAATCTTGAATCCAGCAGTATCTCTTACTGAGAAAACCAAAGTGAAGCTCTTGAGACAGTTTCTTGGAGATGAGGGTCAAAGGTATTTCGATGCACTTCGCATTGATCAAATCTCTTCTACGATAACCGGCGCTTTGGAGACCTTCAGTGCTCTTTGGGGTGCTCGTCAGAATGTTTTTACGGCTAGATACTACTTCTCAAAACTCTGTCAGAAACCAGAGGAGAGTGTGAACGAGTTCATCGCACGTGTACTACAAGCAGCACCTGATTGTAAATACAATGAAGTCGATTCAACGAGATTTGAAGAGACCATGTTACTCCAATGTTTGATAGCCGGAATCTCAGACCAGAGCACGCGGGAGAAGCTCCTTTCACAAGATGATTGTTCACTGACCTGGGAGACGGCCTGCTCGATTGCCCGGCAGAGGGAACACCTTACACAACAACTCGCAACATTTACGCTGAAGGACTCGTCAGATGAGCTGCGATTGATTAACACTACATCAAAACCAAAGCCACCCACTGGCGTCAATTTGTTTGTGTGCTATCGCTGTGGTGAGCAGCACAGTTGTCCATCCGACTGTCGGCATCAGAAGACAGTATGTCGAAGCTGCGGGAAGGTGGGCCACCTGGCGCGAGTGTGTAGATCGGTCAAGCGACGTTCAGGTGGGGCTTATCGAGGAGCAAACCCCATCAAAACTGTGGACGAGTCTGATGGTAGCGACCCTGAATTACATTCCATTTGGCTTAATTCCCTTTCTAGCATGCAGCAGGCGCCATACACTCTAGAGCTTTACATTGAAGGACAAAAGGTACAGATGGAAATAGATACAGGAGCATCAGTGACGATAATCCGGGAAAACGCTGTAAAAACGCTCCCGAACTTATCCGCTTGCAATTCTGTTCTTCGTACATACACCGGTGAACCTATATTTGTCCTTGGTAAATGCTTCGTGAAGGCACAGTATGGCGACAAAATACGCACACTTCCTGTATATGTGATCCCCGGGGATCGTCCAAATCTGCTTGGAAGAGACTGGATACGTGCTTTCCCGGATACAATGAATGTGGTAAAATTAGTCACCGAGATCTCCGGACTTGAAACATTACTTAAACAACATTCAGCTGTTTTTTTCCGAGGAGCTTGGGAAGTTGAAAGAATTTCAGGCTGTGATAAAACTAAAGGAAGACGCTCGACCAAAATTCATTAAGGCGCGCACACTACCATACGCTATGAGGCCTAAAGTTGAAGAGGAACTAAACCGCCTACAGACTCAAGGTATTATTACTCCTGTACACTTTTCCGACTGGGGAACTCCAATTGTGCCAGTAACCAAACCGGACGGCTCCGTACGGATTTGTGGTGACTACAAGATAACCATAAATCAAGCATCCATGCTGGTCAGGTACCCCTTGCCACGTATTGATGACTTGTATGCAACACTAGCTGGTGGTGAAAAGTTTACCAAACTCGATCTGAGTCATGCATACTCGCAGATAGAGCTCGATGAACCTTCGAGGAAACTTACTACCATCACCACGCACATGGGACTATTTCAATATACTCGTTTACCTTTTGGCATTAATTCCGCCCCCGGAATATTTCAGAGAATTATTGACGACCTAGTGAAGGACATTCCTTTTGCGTGTGCTTATCTGGATGATATTCTTATCTCTGGACGCTCGGATACAGAGCATCTTCGAACACTCGCGGTCGTGCTCGAGCGTTTGGAGCGAAGTGGATTCAGATTGAAAAGGTCTAAATGTGAGTTCCTTTCACCTTCCGTTTGTTACCTTGGATACCGGCTTGATAAACACGGTTTACATGTTTTAAATGACAAGGTTAAACCTATTTTAGAAAGCCCAGAGCCAAAGAGTTGTGATGAACTCCGTTCGTTCTTAGGAATGCTATCTCACTATCGCCGTTTTCTGCCTAATGCATCGACGGTTTTATCGCCATTATCTGAGCTGTTACACAAAAATGCATCGTGGTGTTGGGGTTCCCGTCAAAAAATGCCTTCAATAAAGCAAAACAAGCTCTTACTTCGCCACCAACGTTAGTCCATTATGATTCTAACAAGCCACTCATACTTCAGTGCGACGCGTCCCCTTGGGGGGTCGGGGCTGTCCTGTGCCACCGCATGGATGATGGTTCTTTACGTCCCATAGCATATGCATCGCGCATCTTACAGACGGCGAAGAAGAACTACTCACAACTGGACAGGGAAGCGCTAGCCGTTATCTTCGGAGTTAAGAAGTTTCACCAGTATTTATGGGGAAACGTTTTCGAGCTTCATACAGACCACAAACCATTGATATCCTTGTTTGGGGAAACCAAAGGTATACAACAAATGGCATCACCGAGGATGCAAAGATGGGTTATAACCTTGAGTGCTTACAGTTACAAGATTGTTTATATTACCGGCGTCAGCAACTGTACAGCTGATGCACTCAGCCGTCTGCCGATCACGGGAACTGCACATGAACACGACCCTCCGTTTGAACTGGTTAATCTAATGCAACATCTAGACACAACACCGATACGGAGTTCGACAATCCGTCAATGGACGGATCGAGACCCCGTGCTATCAATGGTGAAACGCTTTTTGAACATGTGTTGGCCTCCTGAAGGGACAGTTGAATTACAACCGTTTATGATTCGGAAGAACGAACTGAGTCTATTCGACGGCTGTGTTTTTTGGGGCTCTCGTCTAGTCCCTCCCACCAAGGCGCGTTCACAGATACTTAAAGAGCTCCATGATGCTCATCCAGGTGTGGCGAGGATGAAGGCACTAGCGAGAGGGTACTGCTGGTGGCCCAACATCGACTCGGACATAGAGAACTTACTGAAGAATTGCGATATTTGTCAGGCGTATCAGCGGAGCAAGGCGCCAGGTCCAATACACCCTTGGCGTTGGCCCGACAATCCCTGGCAGCGTATCCACGCCGACTACTTCGGACCGATCGACGGGACCATGTTTCTTCTACTTATTGATGCACATTCTAAGTGGATTGACGTACATCCAGTTACTCAGGCGACAGCCGAATCCACCATCACTAAAATGCGCTCGTCCTTCGCTACGTTTGGCATTCCGGAAACCATTTGTACAGACAATGGTTCGCCTTTTACCAGTGCCGAATTTGGTAAATTTGTCGCCAACAACGGAATCCAACACGTTAAATCAGCCCCGTATCACCCAGCATCAAACGGATTAGCGGAGCGTGCAGTACAAACTGTGAAACAAGGCTTACTAAAGCAGCGAACGGGAACATTGCGAACAAAACTGGATCGGTTCCTATTCTCCTACCGTTCTACACCCACTGAGGCTACCGGGAAATCCCCGGCGGAATTGATGTTCGGCAGAAATCTGAGAACGAGGCTTCATTTGTTGTTCCCGAACCCGCGTGTTGAAGTACATGAGCGTCAGAAAAAGTTTGTGTCTTCAGAGGAATCAAAGCCGGAAGTTACATTTCAGGACCATCAACCTGTTTACACCAGGTTACCGCATGAAAAATGTTGGCAGCCGGCGACTGTGCTCGATTCTTCAGGAAGTCAAAACGATTTGCAGCTTCCGGACGGCCGGGTTGTTCGCCGGCACTCAGATCATATACGCCCCAGGAGCACTGACACACCTGCCGTGAGTCAGTCACACTCGGAGATCGCAGAGCAAGCTGCAGAGCACGACGAACACAGAACAACAGGGGAAACTCAATTACGCCGATTGACCCGGATTCGCAAACCGATCGAACGTTTTCAGCCATGACTGTAACGTCAGCCAAAACAGGGAGGACTGTTACGTGTTCAACCAATGATCGCTCACTATGATCGTGAACCTGATTGGCCCTACACACACACGTAGATAAGCACGCACACACGCACTCAAGGACACACCCTAACGTTCCGTGCTCTCATGTAAACCGTTAAGTGTTCAGTACACTGTGCGCCAGACTGACGCGTCTTCTTGCTTATTCGCTACGAGTTGAAATACGTACTTGCGGTTAGAGTCCAGTTGTGATAATTGCCTTAACAAACTTCTGTATATTTGCGTCAGACTACTGTTCTTTCCTCGACTTTCCTACGGCAAACAACGTGCTGATGCTCCTCACCGACTTTTGTTGGTTAGCCGATGCAACTCTGCAAGCACGTTTCAGAACTCAGCCTTCGGTTTATTTCTCGATAGCAAACTGTTGCATTGGACTGCAGTCAAAATAAGTAAAAGAGTTTGGCGTTGAATTAGTAGTCTATAGAATGCTTCAGGCTGGTTGGAAGTGGCTTGTGGAGTAGAAGGATAGAATCCTCCTGCAATCTTACCTTAGCGTCTATCCACCCATACTGCATGTAGTCTTTTCCAGGCTACGTGATGGTGCGTGTTGCCTAAGGTTACTTGCAGTCGTATTTGGCTTTCGATCGGCGCATTGATACAATGCTTAAATCCCAACACAAAGACCTTCCCATCCATCTGAAGTTCTTACGAAATAATATACTCCCGAACGGTGGTGAGAAACGAACCATAGACCTAGCTAATGAAAAATCTTGGTCCGACTTCCACACAGCAGACATCTTCAGGATGCGCCTTGGAATGACTTTAAAAAGGAGGCAGCAGTAGTGAATCATTGATCTGTCCGGAATAACTTTTACCACCCCTACTAAACCACAAATTGCCCCATCCATCTGGAACTTGGCCGAAACATCAAATCAGATAATGTGCATTCCTTTACTTCCATTTTATTCTTTCCTCAGATTTTTCCTAGTTTTTTGTTACCTATGCACATATTTTACACCATCTTACTGATCAAACCTTTTCCGTTTGTGGGTATTTTAGTATGTGTTCGTCCTTCCACCGACATAATTTGGCTTCAAGTTAGCTCAGTGAAAATACAACCGATTCGGTCGAGCCATCCACATTTTATCATCGATCGATTTTCACACAACCTTGTCTCCGACTGACATTGTTTAGTTGCTCAGAAAGCGAATGTATTTTCTCTTTTTAATGGAGTCTATCACAAACAGTCGCTAGGACCACTGAGAGAGATTCGAAAACTAGGTAACCGTCGTTTCGTTCTTTCTGTACTCTTGCCTCTGGCGAAATACGAAGCTTGATGTTCTATACACGAAGCAGCGACTCCGGTGAGGGACTAACAGAGTCAGGGTACACCCACGACCTGGCCCTCAGGTTGGGTAATTTGGCGTAGAGCTTTGCATTCACTGACATTTCCTTCGCACATGCAATTGTATTGTTGCAGAACTGGACTCTGAAACCGCCAATTAGGTTCTCCAAGTGGTCTGTCGGTTTACTTATCTTGCTAGTTGTGTTATTGCTGGTGATCGTATCACTGAGGTTACTGAACGGATCAGCGGGGCTCGTGCGAATTTTCGAACTCAGTCATCTGTGAAGTAAACGAGCTTTTAACCTGTATATATTAGAAATATGATCACTCTTGTTAAGGAACTACCCGTACTTGGCTACTGGTGTTGGCGCCGTGGTGTCCACATCTTTTAGGTCATCGGTTGAGCCACTCTGAAGTCTATCAGTTGATTTCCAGAAGGAAGCGGTCGCTGATGCATTAGCGTCTCTGTGTTGTTTAAATCACCCACATTGGTTGGATTATGCGCTTTTTGTGCATGTTGACCCTTTAGCTGAGCGGGATCATTGGGTTACTGGTGGACGTTGTAGCAGAACCGCACGGCGACTTTGACTAAGACACCGACTATACTCGCCGCCTTGGTGTATAGATATCTTGGGATTTACCACTAGCGTGGCAAATTTCTGTCGCAAGCTCCATTGCTTTCCCACACCGTCTACCGCATCTGGGGGTTGACATGCCAACACGATACTTTGTTTGCCTTTCTCTGTAACCACGTTTCGTTCCGCTCTGATTTGCGTTCCTTGTTGTTGTTGCTGTTGTTTTTTACCTGCTGCTAGTGGTTGGGTTCCACGTTTGTTGTGGGAAAGAACAACACTGGTTGTAAGGGGACGAAAGCATCTTTCTGATGCTTTTAATCTGTTTGGAGTTCCCTTTGTGCGAATGAATAACGACACGCGACATCGCTTTGAACTGCGACTTAGTTTGAAGTGAACCTTGATCCGTTTGGTCGCCAAAACCTGATACCTAATTGCTTCACTTACGGTCTCACTGACCGACTGAGTTGATCGACGTTTACTTCAGAGTAGATAGCCATCCAAATGGCAATTACGCATCGGAGTCCATCCAAGTAAACCGTCAATCAATCAATCCCTAAGCGTTGCTCGCGGAGTGACCTGAGATAACGGGATACAGGCGTCCACCGGCAACCTTTTTGTCCGGAGTTCGAGTCATGAAGTGCCGTGTTGAGAGTGAGCAACATGTAGCATTTGTCGGCTTTAGATACGGTCTCCGGTTGTGCCTAGTTGCGATTTGATCGGATCCAAGTGTCTCGTTGTTTGCCTTGCAGCAGATTCCTATACTACCTAATTTTCATCTATCCGACTCCAGTTGGTCTAATCGTTCACTGGCTTTCACTTTCTCATTTCAGCTATCATGTGGCCAAAATGGCGTTGTCTGATCGGGTGAACAAAATGCAGGCGGTTGTGGCCACATTGGAGGCGGATTTGGAGGTGCTGTGTGTCACCGGGGTGGAGGACAAGCTCCAAGAAGGTGTAAGTGTTTACCTGTTGGCTTGCGTCTCTCACTTCTGACCACTGTGTGCTTCCAGCTCTCACAGCTTCCCAGGGTGGTGTTTCGCACAGTTTTACACTTCAACTTATGTTGAGATGTCACGCTCCATTTCCCTTAGATGCGTTTCTGTTCTGATATTTGCGAACATATCTTTAGAGCGCCATGTTGAGAGAGCAGATCTGAAACTCTGCACTTCTGATGTGGTCTATAGTTGGAAGAGTAGGTATTTCTTCGAAGCATTTCTTGACCTCAATCAGGATTACGTGTCACTATCCAGACGCACAGCAGGTACTCCGAGACCCAACAAAGGATCTTGGACTTAATTTACCGAAATTCAGTCACGCAGCCTCATCCCCGGGGATTCACTTTACAGCTGTTTCATCAAATCTGTATTCCTCATTGGTGGTTTTATCAAGAAGCATTATATCTCTTGAATTCGTTCCCTCCATTTGCACATCTAGAAGTTGTATTACCTTTGAGGATGAGCTATGCTGTATCACCACTGTAACATCCCCCTATATCCCCAGTGACCGATGTCCTGTTCACTCCAGTTGACCCGGAGGTGGTGGTCTTTGTCTCTCAATTCTGAGTTGGTCATGTCGCATATCTGCCGAGCCAATTGACTACTACTGTTCGAGCAACCGTGCTTAACGCTTGATCATTGCCAAGTGCAATCATAGTGTAGTTCTGTTCAGTACAATTTGCCAGCCTTGCTTTTCGCACCGAGGTGCTGGGGATTCACTTGTTACTGACACGCGCCACCAAAATACTACTGCTAATAATAAACTCTGAGGTAAATGAACAAGCAACTACTTCTCTAGCTGAATTAGTTGATAATTATTAGGCCCATTATGATGGTTTCCTTGTAGTGTCTTACTGAAAACTGATAATAGTTTTTTGATACCATACTATCGAAGCACTTCTAGAAGTGGCTAGTTGATCTACGAGTTTACTGTTTTTACTCTTATGGGGCCACCTGTTTTCATACTTGCTCAGTCCCTCTCTCGTGAAAGCGTATGTGCCACATTTACACAAAGCGATGATTAAGTTATGATCCGTTTCTGTGATGCCGTCGGCTTTTTCACTCTAGCATTGATGTGGACACTGCGCTTCCTGTCCTCACCAACAGCAGTTCATGGTTCTCTGGTACCAGTCTTCTGGGTGGTAGATACGAAACCGTTGCATTCGTTCCTAACCATCACGTGGAGTTAGGCGTCATGCGTGCAATGAGACACGCCTAATCAGTTAAGATATTTTCCGAAAGTATCGTTACGTCCAATTCACGCGCTCTCAAATCCATGTTATACGGCAGCAGTAATGTCATTTCCTCCTTGTGACCATCTATCTCATCAGGTGCGACCTACTCTGGAGGCCCTTCGCAATGCTGGCATCCGCATATGGATGCTAACCGGCGATAAACTAGAGACTGCGGAGTGTATCGCCAAATCATCCCGACTGGTCGGTCGCGACATGCCGTTGTACACATTTCGGAATGTGTCTGGCCGTCTGGACACCCATGTGGAGTTGAACGCCTATAGAAAACGATGTGATCATGCTTTACTTATCACCGGTTCCTCAATGGAAGTACGTGTCATTCGCTTGCGTTACTATGGCTTTATCTAGAATCCACGTCGCCCTGAACCATCCAGCTGTTTTGGCCTCGTAATAGATGAGTCCGTAAACATTAAATTGACTTTCGCCCTCGTAACAAATGAATCGACCCCCATGCAAACAGCTCATGATTGTAGTTTTCCTTTGCTTGAAAACTGTCTTTGCTTCTGTTGACCGAACTTGTTTGTAGATGCGTTTGTCCTCTAACCTGGTGTCAGAGAGGCTTCGTTATATTCTAACTGCATACCCCAGCTCTCCTGGCCGTGTAAATGTGTACAGGAAACTTTTCCCTTAGGTAGCCTCCTTTAATTACTCATGGATGCCCCATTTCACAATCCCATGCTACTTTTTTGACCAATTCTTGTCACTTTGCACTCCCTCATTCCACTTTTCCTGGAAACGAAATTCCATTTGGTGATCAACTGTCAAACGTAGCATATGCGAAGCACGTGACCCTTTTTGAGTCAAATCCATTCACCGTGCAAACGTTGCTGGGTAGGCTGGCGTTTAGCATTGAATGTTTTAGCAAGTGTCAGCACCTTCAAGATGAATCGGTTTACCACGTATTCTTACCATGGTCAAACTACCGCTGGAAGTGTTTGACGGGATTCATTATCTGGGCGGTTCTTTCACTCCTGGTTATCATATCACCAAAGTGGTTGACACACATCTTGCTAATACTCCTGCTTTTCAGAGTCTTGCTTGTGGACACGGCGGTATGAGATTTTCGTGATTAAGGAAAGAGCCTACAAGCCTACTATGCGGCAAGTGTTGAGTAATCTTGTTACTCAAGTCTGGTGATGGTAGGTTCGACTGGGCAACACTGCAACATTGAATCCGTCTTGGTTTCAATGCGATTTGCGAACAGTCGGTTGATTGATTGATTTGACAATGTTTCGCTTTTGGCATGGGAGCTACATCATGCTAAGGGAATTAGTACTTTGTTGGTGTGACACTTTACAGCAAGTGAGGGATCTGATCATCACTACGGAGACATGAGTCAAGAGACGCTTACAGACACTGGTGGTAACGTCATCTCTCCATTGGTTCGAAGTTATAGTCCATGAAATCAGTTCTGTCAGTTAATGACTTGACAAAAGCGAACGAAGAAACTCATCAAACAGCTGTACCAGGCCGCTTCTGTTATCAACCATCTTATCAGATATCACATATTAGAGTTCATTTCGCTCTTGCTTTCTTTCCTCCAATCTCTGATGCCTTACTATTCCACACCTGTATTCGATCCACGTCCTTAGTTTGGCTTCTGTGCACAATGCCTTAACCAGGCTACACTCAGCGGCGCTCTCTAGATTTTGCTCTGCGGACATTGCATTGGTTCGGGATAGTCTCCTACTAGCGCTTAACAAATATTACTGGTTTATTATTATTATTATTATTATTATTATTATTATTATTGTCGTTATCGTTTTAGTGACGTTTATCAAAGCTGCTTGTTCCGCCGTAATGAATTATTCCACTTATTTACCGATTTCTCATGTACGATTTGACTTGTGCGCTCAATTAACCCCCGACAGTTGACCGTTATGTGTCAGCAACTTGCACGTCGTCACTTCGCTTGTTTCTTGGGCTACAAGTGTAACCCATGCATGACTGCCGGCAATTCCCTATCCACTTAGCTTGATTAGCCTCCTTCCACCCCCTTTGAACTCTTCACGCAATGCCGAACTGCGTACTGTGTGATTGAGGCTAACTACCGCTGCACCCATCCCACCTGCGCACACTGCTGTACATAAGTTGACATCAGGCCTATCCTGCTGACAACCTCGAGTTGTTCACCATTGATACATAGAAGCGTACCGTAGGTTCCTTCATTCTCATTATATACACTTTGGGTAGAGATGGGAAACACCTTAGCTATTGTACCACATTAAGTTAGCATATGAAAAGGCGCAATCACGGCACACCAGTAACGGATGCACATCATTCCGGAGCGCTAGCAACTGGTTATTGTGTCTCAAGTTATCTCATGCGTCAGAAATAAGCTCGTGGTTGGAAAGGGAGGCTACGCGGAAGGAAGAGAAACATATGAAATCGCAACACATGTCACTGAGTTTGGCTTCTAGACATGTCTTCAAGTGCATCCAGCCCAAAGTATTCCTCGTCTTTCGACCCCAACCAGGGAGTCGGTGTGCTGGCATGCGTAACACATGGCCTAGTCCTCAGAGCCTGTTGCGTGAATGGTTCACTCGCTCTTCCGGATACGCTGGGCCGAACACGCTCATTGCTCACGCGGTGTTCCCACCAGACATGAGCTATGCTGCGAAGGCAGCGATGATCAAACGTAACAAGCCTGTTTAACTCCCTCGACTTGATGGGCCAGGTTTCACCACCGTATAAGAGGGCTAAACGGACAGCTGCACTGTAAACTCTGCTTTTCAGGACGTCGGTGATATCACGCGGGCGCCACAGGTAGCGAAGGTTGGCAAATGCACCGCGAGTTTTTGCTGTGCTGTTCATGACATTGTCCTCGATTCCAAGGGTGCTAAAATAGTTGCCCAGATAGTTAAATTTCTGAACGATTTCTTGCTGGTCACCACCAAAAGTCAGCACAGGGGTACGTCTCTGCCAATCTTGGAGAACTGTGCCCGAAACGACTGACAGCCTATGCTAATTTGTCCAGCGCTACTCGGCATATTCCAGCTTAAGGAGTCCTTCACCTGGGAGCAGCTCCACACCTACGTCGTAGTCGTGGAGCACCGTTTTCATGACTTCGTCAATGACGAAATGACAGTGGGCCACTTTGTTTCACACCGCTGGAGATATCGAAACACGGCGGAGTCTGCCATAACCTCTCACTCTGCTCGAACTATGCGCGTACAGCGTTCTTATGACCTTCGCATATTTCTTGGGCACCTTTCCTGTGGCCAGTCCCAAAGGGCACATCTATCCACTGAAACGACGGCACCTTTTATGTCAAGAAACACGACAATGGTGGGTCGCCGATAAACATGGCGGTGCTCCGACAACTGACACAATGTGTAGATGTGATCAATGCAGCTTCGATTTCGACTAAACCCAGCATGCTGCTCGCGCATTTGGCTTTCAACGGCTGCCAGTCAGTCTGTACAGGACGACAGAGGCGTTGGAGATCAGACTGCTTTTTCTATGACTACCGCATTCTGAACGGGAGTCTCCCTTGGAAATTGGGACTATAAAGGGGTGGATCCAGTCTGTATCACAGTCTACTGCTCCCATATATTCACGAATAACTTATGTAAGTCGTCCAAAATAACAGGTCTCCCAAATTTAAAGAGGGCTGTTTGAAGTCCATCTGTTCCGGCGGCCTTGTTCAATTTCAGCCGTCTGATTTCACGTTCGATTTTCTCGCGAGGGCGGATCCAGTGGGTCTGCCCAGTGAGTACAGCGATCCTTGGCTGGTGAAGAAGCTGACAACTCTGACTGATTAAACTGCTTCTCAAATTTTTTGGCCCAACGCTTTGAGCATTTTGACAGGCTGTGTGTCGGCTGTTCAGTCTTGTTGCATATGGTCTCGCTAACACCAGTTCTCCTGCTGCCCGTTTTCTGTATGATGACGAAATATCTTCCACTGGTTACCAAGTGCAGCGGAAGTCTGCATCTCAGGCTAGCAAACAGTTTCGCCATAAGAACTTTGCGTATCTTATTGTTTACGCTTCCAGCCGAAACACATCGGCGAGCTTCCAAAAATTCTAGAGACTGGGTGGAGACCCAAGATAAGGTTAGCGATTTCGTTTGCCACATGAAGACATGTCTGCCTCTAATAACGTCTGGCGGATGTGCGATCAGTAATCGTCCTCTGTCTTCATCGAACGTTTACACAGGTCAGATGCCGGCGTACTTTGGTACTAACATCTCCAATGGCTTTTAACGTCAAACCATTAGCCGATGCAAGATTCGCTAATGGTTGCCGGTTGTTCGCGGACATTCTCCGTTTTGTAGTGGATGTTTCTGTTCCACTACTTCCCATGGTGAGAAGCACGCTCCTCGCTTTCCTGACAAACATACTCTTTACTTGCAAATTAGCTAAATATCGATCTTCTGGGCGCATTTTTTCTGCAACCGGATTGGCCGAGAAAGATTGGACTGCTAACCACATTGTGTGCTTCAAAACAAATTTACCGACAGTCTAAACTGCCAGGATTCGCTTCACATTTCCAACATGTCTATTTGAAGAGTGGAGACAAACACAAAACTAGTGGAGTCCAATTTTGGCTGCGGGAAACTCTTCACACTTATCTACGGTCCCTTTTGCCGATTGGATATGGATTTCAGCTGAGATAAATAGCCGTCGCAATTAAATTTTATAATACTAGTACTGAAAATTGTATGGCATAGGTAGAACTTCATCACGTATAGACAGTCAACGAACGCCCGGAAAGGCACTGTTTAGCCGTTTCGTCCCGTCGGGAGTCATCGGTGGTACGCATTCCGTCTGTTCCCTGTTGTCCTCGAGCTTGCAACTCGATTGTTGCCGGTCCTGGTTGAAACTACTGAGATATGGGTCTCGTTCACGGCCATCTTGACTACTTACTAGATGTGATATGTCGCCGCTCACTATCCATTGACTTGCACTTTACTACCATGCAGAGGACAGAGCAGCTCTCATTGGATTTGCACCCGTGACACTTTGAACTTGTTCCCTTTGGGGTTTTTCTCCGAACTTCTTTTTTGCCACGGTCTCATTTTTTCCATTTTACCATCTATCCATTCGCAGGCATGTCTCCGTTACTACGAACACGAATTCGTCGAATTGGTACGCCAGTCCCCGGCTGTAGTCGTCTGTCGGTGCTCACCGACTCAAAAGACACGCATTGTTCGCCTACTCCGTGTTCACACCAAATCACGCGTGGCTGCAATCGGCGACGGAGGAAACGATGTGGGCATGATTCAAGCCGCCGACTTGGGCTTCGGTCTTGAGGGCAAAGAGGGTCGCCAAGCCAGCTTGGCATCCGATTTCAGCCTTACTCAATTTCGGCACGTCGCCCGCCTTCTGTTGGTACATGGAAGAAATTGCTACAAAAATACCGCGGCCCTCGCTCTGTTTGTCATACATAGAGGTGCGCTATTTCATTTTATCTGGTGAAATTTTCTGACGCGTCACTCTGTTCGTTTGCATACCCGCAGGTTTCAAGTGTCGTCGCAGTTCTATTTTTCTCATTTTTGCTTTTTCACTGCATTCTTGGAGATATCCTCTGTATTTTGTTTTCTTTATGTTACCTCATAAGCGGCGAGTGAAGCTCCGTAACGAGTTTGTTTACCAAATTCTCAACTCATCAGTACCTGGAAGCCTTGGCAGTTTTGATGCACCATTGTTCAATTGGTTCTTTTTATCCCTGCTTCATGTGACCTTAGATCCTCTTTGGCAGGCATCGGTCTTCTTTTTGTAGATACGTCCATTTGGCAGATGATACGTGTATCCCTAATTGTTTTTGTCGGTCTCTTGTCGATAGGTTTTCTGAGACATCCTCTTTCCGCTCAACATTGATTCGGCTTCTTTTGCACTGTCATCGGGTTGACGCTGGTCGGCACAAAGTCGGTTTTCAGTACCCACTCAGTCAACCACACTGCTGCTCAGTCAGCACTTGGTATCGCTCTTGTGTTGGCGGGAACCTTCACAAAATGATTGTTGAAGAAGGGTTGCTCGAAAAACGTAGTTCTCATCCATTCCAAGTCGTCGGCATGGAGGGCCTATTCGGCACACTTATGATGATCACTTTCGCTCTGCCGGCTGTCCACTTTATTCCAGGGAACGATTTGAACGGATCCTATAAGAACATTATCGATGCCCTCTACCAAATCTGCGCTAACGTCCTACTGATGGTGTATGTCATTCTTTACATCCTCTCCGTGGCCTTCAACTACTTTGGTCTATCAATCACTCGGCACCTAAGCGTTGTGCACCGAACTCTCATCTACTCGTTAAGCACCACACTCGTGTGACTCGTCAGCATGGTTCTTTACCACTCCACTCGTGGCCCTAACAGGGAGCCATTTGATGCATCATGGGGTCGGTTGTTAACTGGACCTCCCCAAGGTGAAACCTGAATATTTTGCTGATAATTCTTTCACGTATTGGAAGATCATGAAGCACTTTAAATACTTTGTTGAGAAGTGGGTTCAGGATAATAGGCAACGACTCCTATATTTGTTGTACTACTGTCGAAATCAGGCGAAGCAAACTATCAGCGAGTGTGTTATGTTCACTCCGGATCAGGCTTACATTCGAGCTATCATTCTTCATGATTTATTTGGTCAGAATCATGTGGTCGCCAGATCACTTATTAATGGATTACTAACGGATTTAAGGCCGTTTGCCTGAGATGCCGAAGCTATTTCTCGTCTCTCCCTAAAGATGGAGAATCGTTACATAGCGTTGAACCAGATGGCATTTCTCGCTCACCTAGTTTCAGTTACAGCTGTCGAATGAATTTTACGGATCTTGCCTACGTTTATGAAAACAAGACGGGCACGCACAGCCTATACCATCCTGCAAGAAGGGAGAGCAATTACGTTCAAGGACCTGTCTAAATTCGTCTCTCTTCTGAAGCCCGCATTATCTGCAGTAGATTCAGACAGATAGCATCAATGCCTCAGTTAGGCCCGTCTTGTTCCCGAGGTCCACCTATCCCGATACGCAGTAGGAATGAGGCTAGCATCAATCAGTGTGCTAAATTCAGAGTGGAACCGCATTCAGCTTGCCTTGTTTGTGGTGGCCAACATGGTACTGCGATGTGCCGAGACTTTCTAGCTTCCAGGCTGCAGAAAGGATGTCTCGGCAATGGTCACTTGGATGCTTCTTGCACATCGGATGACAGATGTAACCACTCGGGTTGCAGGAGTCGTCATCACCCACTATTACACCTGGAGCGCAATGAGGACCCAATGCGGAAAACGAGCAGCTGTTGTACTCCTTCTTGTTCAAAAAAAGAACTACGGCTGGGCATAGTACCTGTGCTTCTACAGCGTGCTCTGAGATACATTGAAACTTACGCGTTGCTGGATAGTGGGTCAGATGTAACCATGGTACACGAAGATTTGTTACGTGAAGTTGAAATAGACTTTCCGCCTGGCTCGTTAGTACTTAGTACGCTGGCTGTCACATCGTTGATTGACTCAAGCTCTGTTAGTTTCCAGTTGTGTTCATTGAGTGGTACTGATGTGATTCATGTTTCTTATGCCTATTGTATAAATAATTTTAATTTACAACCAGTCAAAGTTTTTACTAAAACTGCAGTTTGTCACTATCCACATCTCAAGGATATACCATTTTAGTGAGATCCGAGATAACCATGTGCGAATCTTGCTTTGTGCTGATGTACCTGCAGCCCATTGGCACTTAGAACAACACCTCGGTGTGAGGAATCAGCCATTTTCAGTAAGAGACCCACTTGTATGAACATTGATTGGACCAGTAGAATATAGGAGAGATTCATTTGTCTCGGTCACTCATGCTCGGTGTGATCCACAATCCGTGGAGGATCAACATAGATTGGTATATGGCAGCGGGTGTGGCAGTGTTGGTTTTGAAGATCGCGCCATATCCGGCGGGGCCCAATGGATTAGAAGAAGTCCTGCAGGATAAGTCCAACGTTCCAGTGCCCGTGAGGAATAAGTACGACGAAAAGAAAGATGTTTCCATCCCGACGGTCTTCCATTTCGCATCACACAAACAGCCACCACACAGAGACGATATATCATCGACGGCAGACTCAAATGGAAGGATTGTTTCACGGAAAGGCCTAACCATCTAGAATATCCGCCAAAGAAAAAACCGCAGTATTTCACTATGTTAGCGCTCCAGGGGACGTGTGCATATTCAGGGAAAACGCATTTTACCGAGTGAGCTTTTTGCATTTGTCTCTCGAAAGAAGAAACGAACGCAAGAAAATGAACGGAAATGTCCCAATCCCCCAGTAACTGGTCTTAAAGCGATTAGCGGGACGTTCGGTGGGCTTGTATGGCGCCTAACTTTGACGGTTTTGGGCCTCATGGTTATGCTAGCCATCTTGGTCTTGAAAGCTGACTAACCAGCACTCACTCCAGATGACCTCTTATTGTTGCGATCGAATACAGACCAGTGGTTATCGCCGACATTACGACAAGGACATTACAATACACAACGCTGGAAACGTTGAACTACTTGGCATCAATATTCTGGAAGAGGTGGACCACCGAATACCTACCGCTGTTACGTATGCGAAAAAAGTGGCTAAATGCAGAACGCAATTTTAATTCCGGTTATCCTGGTTACCTGTGAGACGCTACCACGAGGGCACTGGCCCCTTGGAGTAATTAAAGACTCTGTGACTGACGATGGGTTGGTCAGAACTGTGACTGTAAAGACAAAGGATGATTCGATTTTGAGAAACATACAGAAAATTTGCTTGCTTGAAGGTAGTGAAGGAGGTAAAGAAGCACAGCTGAGACGGGTAGGGCAATACAAATAGAGCCGGAGAACAGTCAAACAATGAGAAATTTCTGGAAGGAATTTGGTGAGGGCGTGTGACAGCCAAATCACCGTTTGTCGTATTCCATCGATGGATACCACAAGTCCCATTCCTGTTCCCTTGTTTCTCTGCCCCGGACTGTCATCCGCTGGCATTTTTACGGCATGTTTAATTGGACTATCGATCGTTTCGAATTGCTTAGTCGGTTGTGTAACCGGTTGAACTTCAGTTAACTGTTGCCGGCATTTTATATCGTTTGATGTCCATTTTTAATCTGAAAACAGAGCTGTTGTAAATTTTGTGGTGGATATTGTCGAGGTCAGTATAGAATTTGTTGCCCCTAACCCTTTGTAAAAATTGCACCGTAGCGCGCTTCTGGCCTTGAATTTTGATTTTATCCAGAAGTCTTATGCGTTGGTTTAATCCACCGCCGATTTTCTTTAACACTCATAGTTATCCACTTCTCCGATTGCTTTCTTTGTATTTCCCTTTTTTCTGTAGCATGGAATATGACGGCTTAGGTTATGAAGAATTCAATAGTTTGCATATGTCTCGCTCGCATCTCTTCCACTCCTTCTGCTGCCACCCTATTTAGTGCGCTTTAGTAACTTATTGACCGACTGCTCATGGTCATGTGTGAACACTTAACGCGGTATCGATTTTGAAAGCTGATTAAAACAAGCGATCCGTCAGGCATCATTTTCTTGTTCCGTGTTTATGTCCACTTCTTATCTATTACCCCGTACTCGCTGGTCGTTATGTGCTTTTTTATCAGTTCAGATTTACACATGAAGGCTTTTGACCTCCATTTTGTCTCATTTTGGTTGGCTCTTCGCTTGTCTTACATTTACCTCCTTGTTGATTCGCTAGCTGTGCCCACACTCAAGCGTGCCGCTTTGATTGTTCTACTCACTTATGCAAACCAGTCCAAAACGACGCGTTACGCTATTCTTAGACGTTTGGCTCAGTTATGCATCGGCATCCGGTCACATAATTGCAGCCTTGATGGTTGCTATATTTCGCACTGCTAATCGAGTGCAAGGAACTGTTTTTTAAATCAGCATAAAAACGTAGCCTTTCCACTATTCATCAATATAAAACGAGAAGCTTAGCAGCACGAAGCAAGTGGCTTTACAGTGGACTCTGTTCGCCATGCAAAGCCAAAGTCTTTGGATGAGTACCCTAATCGTCCTCCTGTCTTGGTCTGGGCGCCCTGACAGTATCCCAACCCACATGCAACAATGACGTTTTCTTCAAACATAAAATTCATCCTGCATCGGCCGTCGCGCAGATTATCAAGGGTTGCCTTATCTGCTGCATACAGCAGGGCGGATAAGCGAAAACATGCTACTGCTGACGCCTCCTTTTTTATTTTCCACCTGTTTCTCTTACTCCCATCCCGACCCCCATTATTAACCTTTCTTCTATAATTCCCAGCTTAATTGACAGCAACCAAAGTGCCACTGGAGTAGAACCATCTGTAACCACTTCGCGATACGCACCGGACGCCTATGGGCAACAGTCCCTTATAAGGCCACACTGTCCCGTTTCCATGGCGACGTTCAACGTTCGCATTCCAAGACCAACAGGTCAACAGGCTGCACTCGCAC